GTGTGTGTGCACGCGCGCTCATGTTGGTCATTGAGAATTTCTGGGGTTCCTATGAGATGATGACTTGTAGGTGGTACTTGAATGCTTTGGTTGGATTAGGGGTGGTACTTGGTCCAAAAAGTTTGAGAACCACTGAACTACACTGTTCATTTAAGAAATCCACTGAGTGCACGTTCAGTGCCTTTCAAGATTTTGAATACTTGCAACTGTCCCCTCATAGTCTTGTGTGTCAAGACTAAAAAGGTTATTTTCCTTAAGAATGTCTTTGAAGGACATACCAGTAAGTTCCAGAAAGTATCTGCTTTTTCTCTGAACAAATTCCAAAGCAGCAATATTATTTCTATATTGTGATGGTCATAAATGAAAACCCTATTCAAAATTACACCTTATTAGTGTTGTATGATTATTGCATCCCTTATTTTAAATTCTAAATTTTACATTGTATTTTTAATTGCTTCTCAACATGTCTCGAAGATGGACGTTACTGTAGCCTGTTTAAGCTTTGTGACTTTTTTTACAGTTTGTTTTTACTACCTGCATGCAGTACCTTACCTGTGAGGTGCTTGACCATTTCTGAATTTGATCTTTTTTTTATTTAAATTTGTAGTCTTTTTTTTAAAGATGGCCCCACATTGCCTTTTGGGCTGAGCCCCGGCCGGGTTATGTGGTCTGTCCGGCCACCAGGCGCTCGCCTGGCTCCAGGGGCAGGTCCTGGTAACCCTGTCCCGGGCAGGCTACATTCGATCTTAGTTTGTATTGTCATGAGGGTCGTTTTTGGGCTGTTCTTTGTCTGTCCTGTTAACTCAGACCTATTCGCCAAGAGAAACCCTACCAGGAGCACAAGGCTCCGTATGACATAGTTCAGCGCATCCCTGAGAAACGCAAGCCCCACCACCATGACAAGGTAACGATCCATAGGGGGGGATTCTACCTCTCAGCTGGCTTGGGCATGCCTGGAGATCCCCCAAGAGATGCTGGAATCTGTTGCTGAGGACAGGGAAGTCTGGGCTGATCTACTCGGCTTCCTGCAACCACAACCATCACCAGGAAAAGTGGAGTGAAAATGGGTGGATGGAATTTGCCGGTTTGACACTATAGACTTCCATTTTTCATTGATTTCTTATTGATCCTTGTATAAATTCTGGAAGTGATGTTTAATCCAAAGTCATTTGTGCCCTCATAGACGACAACAGGGACGATATGTGCTGTTTGACTTTTA